TAAAGCTGTTGCCGAAGTATAAGCAATTGAAAAATGCAAAAATTGCCAAAGAATCTCTATTTCCTTCTTTTCTTCATCCAGCACAGCAGACACTTTTAGATAAAAATTACTGTCTTCAAGCTCAAATTTTCAGCTTAAGCCTTTTTCGTTATCAGAGAGGTGCTGGAGAACCTTCCGTGTCGATAGGTTAAAGATTACGGGTTTCCTCATAGAACTATTCTTCTTTAATCGCTTAATTTCACGCTTGTCAGAATAGAATTGCATCGGAACGAATGTCTTGATAGTAGTAACACAATATCCAAGCAAAAAATTTGAGATGTAAAAAATTATGACAATTTGAATTAATAAAATCAAATTTTTTCTTATTTGTTTTTTTAAGTAAAGATAAGCTTATCTTTACAAAAAAAAAACTTCTAAGAAATAAAATTTAACTGTCATCCAAATTATCATATATTTTTACATGGAGCAATATTTTTATATCTCAAATGTTTTTGCTTGGATATAGGCCTACACATTTTAATCGGTATACCGGTATACATAAACATAACATAAATATAAACATATAAACAATATTAAAATTATAAACATAAATACAAATAAATAAATTTATATTTTTTGTTTAGAGAAGGTAGATAGTGCACTAACTACTACTTTCAAGAAACGTTGGCTATCTACCGCGTTAACCAAGATTACTTGTATATAATGTCATCTATAAATTATCGTTGTAAATTGTTAAAAAGAAAAATTATAAATCGAATAATATGCTAATTGTTATATTAATTATTGTTTCAGACTGTACGCTATAGAATTAGCAACCAATATCTTATTGGTAGGGATACTTGTCTATTTGATGCCTTCAGGAATGTGGATGGTCATCGGTGATTTCGTATGCAAGATTTTTTATTAGTTTCTTATCGAAAATGTTTTAGCACTTTGAAAATATAATATTTAAAGCAAATTTATGTTAAACACATAAGTTTTATACGATTGTAATAGACCTATTTAAAATACTCATTATTGTGTAATATTTGTCTTTAATATATAATAAGATCATTTTAAACTATATGTTTTAATAATGACTTTCTTTTCGTTAAATATTAAAATTACAATTTTTAGCTTAAAAATATAATAAATATAATAAAAACATAATAACCAAAAAATTTTGTATTTAATTATATCTTTTAATTTTAAAAAAAATTATTTCATTTAACCGAAATTTTAACAATCAAGGAAGTTTCTATTGAAAAATAGGTTGATTATTCATGAAAAATGCATCAATACTAAATAATAATAAACAAATATATTAAAAAATTATACAGTAGAACCTCGAAAACTCGGCCTAATGTGGACCGAAGGGTGGCCGAGCTTGTGAAAATGTCGGGTTATCGGGAATGTGGTTAAAAAAGGATAAGTATGCGTGTTTCCTCAGAAAATATTGTACTGTACTTGTATGTATTGTTTGCTTGAGAATACAACAGAGAATAAACTGCCCAAATATCCTTAAACAAAGGAAAAGTACGTCCTTTATGAAGGCATAGAGCCTTTACTAATGAAAATGAAAATTAATGAATACACAGTGTACAGTAATTTACCTGATAAGACAGACCTCAGAAAAATACTTTATGAAAGTTTTTATACTTTTATAAAGCTGTCTATAATGAAAATTAATTAACTAAGGATTTTTTTGCCTTGCCAGGGTGTGGCCGAGTTATCCGGAGTGCCGGGTTATCGAGAGCCGAGTTTTCGAGGTTCTACTGTATTTCTGTAATAGTACTGTAATTACTATTACAAATTATATTCTCTAAACAAAGATGATTTCATTCTTTTGCTTTTTCTTATATGTGTTAAAGAAATTTAGAAAGTTATCTTTCCGTTTGAGATGGAAATAACAAAGACAATTATGTTTATTTTGTAAATTAAGTATGTGGCTTAATAAACGAACTTTAAATCATTTTAAGATACCAAAAATATAAACATTTTTGTATATGAATATATCACGATAATTCCAATTATTATTTATTATATAGCAATTGACAAATCATTGAATGTTCTGATAATGCAGTTATAACATTTCCAGTAGCATAAAAACATCATATTTCTTTTACATTTAAAAAGAAAAATTGGTTTTCTGAATTTGGATGTTATTAGATTAAGTAATTTGTTTTTTTCTTGATTTATCATAACTCTACTGATAATGTTACTTCATTCAAATTTTCTCAATATGTAACTTATTTTATAATGGTGGATAGAAATCATCTTTTACTTGTAACATTTTGCACTTTAAATTACGTTAAAAACAAGTAAAACTAATAAAAATAATCGCAAAAATATGTAAATAAAATATACCTTAATAATTTCTTTTAGTAAATATTATTAAACCATGGATAAGTTCCAATTATTTACAATTTCACATTTCATGTTGATAGTAATAATCTATGTGAAACCGTTTTCGTACGCAGGTTTATTTAGTTATTAATCTAATTAAAGCTATTTTAGTAATCTATACTAATATTATAAAGAGGTAATGTTTGTATGTGTGTAAGCTTGTATGCAGCAGGTAATCTCCGAAACTACTCATCCAATTTCAAAAATTCTTTCACCAATATTTAGAATGGAACTTCAGGGTGGACATAGGCTGTATATTATTCCGTTAAACATTCATATAAAGTAAATTAAAAGATATAATCTAGGTTAAAGCTTTTATGTCCAACAGATGGCGCTACGAGTACGACGCCCTAAGTTTGCTTTTCTGTGAAAATAAACTAAAGCAGATCATCTTCTATCTATTTATATAAATAAAAATGTAATGTTCGTTTGTTCCTACCGATTCCTTTGAAATTTTGACACAACGCTGCATTCGAATACGCACGTGTTGTTATATAATATACATGTCGAAATTCAACCCCACAGAAGGGAGATGGTTAGGATTAAGGCTTACGGTAAAGAACTCTGCTTCTATTTATACTATTTTAGATGCGGGTTTTTGCGTTTTTGATTGCGTTTTAATAGGGTACGTCAAAAGAATGTACACTAAGAAGAAATTTTTCGAAAAATTCTCTCCCACGGGGGAAGTTTATAAATTTATAATAGATACATTTTGAGCCACAACAACGCGTGGCGGGGTCTGCTAGTCTTAAATAAATAACTAAATTTAATGAAAACTTTAAAATCTCTTAAATTTATTGAGAAAAGCAAGTCATAGAAGGCACGCTTACACTTTCAATACGGCGACGGTTCCTATACGTTCTAGTCAAAATCGAAATTTTATTGTTTCTAGGTTTTATTTATTTAGCGAAATATATAAATCACTGTTTATAATGGATTTTAAATAAATACATAAATGCATTTTTAAATGAGCTTCTAGGTAAAAGTTTATGAAATTTGCGAAACGTTATGATCTTACAGCAACAAACAGTGGTCGAGAAGCATTGAGCATCGTCAACAATCTCGTTATCAAAATATAGCATTACAAGTAATTAATGTTCCTTTGATAATCTGAAACTATTAAATTTGAATCCAAAAATACAATATATATCGATTTTTATTGATTTAATTATCATACTTAAAGTAAGATAGTCAAATTCTTACCTTAATATATCTTGAAATAAGCCTAATACAGAATTCACAAACCTCCGTAATTTATTTTCATCATTTGAAATAGCCTCAAAAACATCATTAAACAATCTATAAATTGTTCTAACTTTTTTTCAGTATTAGAAGTTAAAATCTCTTTTTCTTGATACTCGCCATATTTAGCAAAGGATGCCAATATTTCTGTTAACCGGTACATTTTATTGGTCTGTTGTAAATTATAAGTAAACGAATTACTTCGATTGGCTGTCGTTACCACGTTATTTTATAACATAAACTTATAACGGGAGACTTCGCTTAGTTATAAGTCATGACTGTTCGTAATGTTATAACGAAGCATTTTACAACATAAAAACCAATGCGTTAATTCGCTGGGTACTTCATTATTATATACTTATACGTTACGTAAATTAAAGTCTGAATAAAATTCTTGAGCTAAACAAAATAAACTCAAACTTTTGCAGAATTGAATTTAACTTATTGATAAATACACGATGAAAACCTTTTGTATTTTCAGTAAGACAGACCAAAATTTTTTAATATCAAATGTATTTTCTTTTTTCCTCTGAATAATTTTTTAATAACTTCAAATTGCAATGACACTTGTGAATAGAAACAAGACAAGATAAACTAATATTTATTTTTTAATATACACTTACAGAATTCATGATTCCTTTATTGTGTTTTATATACATAATTATATAATAAAAATTCTTCAATTGAATTGTATACAAACATATCTTTAAAAATTTTTAAATATTCTCTTGTAAATTTTCAGAAATCATAAGATAAAGTAATAATGAAGTATCGTAAAAATTTACAGTTTTAATATAACATGAATTTAAAATGAAAAATGCTTACTAATGGAAATAACATTTCTATTGATATAAAAAGTATTTGAAAATTAAAAAACGATTACACAATAATTTACAATTAAAATAAAATCTCTATAGTAAGCTTATTGTAATTTTTCGTATAAAATTTCTATTGTATACTTTCAAATTGTAAAAATTAATCGTTATTCGAATATATTGTTTTATCTAAAGGTAAGCTTACATAGATGTATATACTAGAAATAAACAAAATTTCTAAAAACGTTTTTTACAGAAATTTATAAAAATTATCCTCTCTTATTTGAAATTAAAAACTTTTACTTGATTTTCTGTACAAAAAACCCCCCTTTTTTTTTTCTTTGGTAAGGGTTCATATATAGAAGAAACCCTTTGGATTTTTCTCCTATGTGTTATATAAATATTTGCTGCCAGGGTGGCGCACGAGTAACTTGCACTCGGGGTCTATAGAGGTAGTATAGCACCTCTTTCTCTCTTGGGGTATTTTTTTATAAAGAGAGATATTTGACCAAAATTTGAAGATACGTAGAATTTTTTGTTGCCAAACCATANATGAATATTTTTCAACAATTTGTTAAATTTTTGTTAATTTTAAATAATCAAATTCGCATTAGTATTGATAACTACCCTTATTTCAGTTCGTTCCTGAATAATCACAAATACAATTCGACTTTATTTAATATTATTATTATTATCAAATAAATAATCACGAGAATAGTTCACTGAACAAAAGTTTTGATGACAGGTAATGAGCCACTCCCAAAACGATTCCTGTTTGAATTGTTAAACCGATAAAATATCTCCTAAAAATAAAGTTTTATTAGTTAATTATATATAAGTTCTAACGCGTTTATTAAATTAAAACTTTTTTTTACTTTTTAAGACGATTTCTAGATTCGGGGATAGTAGAATCATCTTCTTTGAACAGATATCTTCTTGTTCCCATCACATAATTTTTCAAATACTCATCCCAATCCATTCCTGAAATATCAAAGTTAAAATCCTGAAAGAAAATATAATATTTAGTTTTTAGATGAATTTTTAGAAACCATTTTGTTAGACAATTACACTAATTTCGAAAATTTAGGCATAATTTACATATTAATGCTACTTTTATATATTTATAGTACGTGTTATGTTAATTTATATATTACATATTTATATTTATGTATTTGAAAAGAATAAAATTAAAAAATAAAAAAATCACGCAAATCTGTGGAATTTTTTAATACTATATATATTAACAAATGAACTGTTTACATGAATTATGGAGGGTAAAAAGACAAACTTTAATATGTAAACCCGACATTCCAAACAAAAAGCATGAATAAGTATAGTATAGTATAGTGTAACAATTCTGCAGTTAATAACTTACAAAAAATTTTTGAAAGCAGCGATTCTCTCCTAACTTATTTCACACTAATTTTCTCTAATTCATCTTTATATCTTCACTATCCCATTAGTTTAATTGCTTCTGATCAGACGTAATCATCCATCAGTTTTATCCATTTAGGTAATAAATTATTATCATCAAGGAAATTCATTCACATTCAAGGGAATTATGAAAGTCCTGATTTCATTTGAAACCCGATATCCCACAATGATAAGGTATTCGCTTCAAAATTCTGCCAATTTTAATATTGGTATCACGACAGTATCAAATGATAGTTTTTAAGTCGCCTGATGTCAAGCGGATATTTTAGAGTATTGCTCTCTCTGTAGAATCCAGAATATATGAAATTAAGAATTAAGAATTTTGCAATGCAATACCAAAAAAAAACAAAAAAACACACATTTTATTTGTTGACTGCCGCCGCATTAGGCCTACCATCGTCTCTACTTTTGCTTAATAACAAATTTGTGTTTTTACTTGTAATCATAAGCATAATATTTCAGTTTTATTGCTTGTGCTGACGATAATTTAAGAAGTATTTATGTATTGTCATCGCTCATGCACGGACACAAAACAACTTTTTTCGACGAAACTGACGCGAATATCGACCAAATACTTTCGTTCTTAACTTCTAGAAACTTCAACGGATCAGTGGCACATAGAGACAAAACACAAAAATAAAAACTTCTAGAAATATGAAGCTAAAAGCTTAGCATGATCTATTTCACCCCAACTTACTCTATGAATAAAATTTATTTAGCTTTTAACATTATATATTCGAATCATTATTTATATATATCTTCCGGTTTCTAAGAACTACTAAAAGTAAAACTAAAAAAATTCCCGAATCCCGGTAATTTCCGGAAAATACTCAACGGCGTTTTCCCGTTGCTGGAAACTCCGAAATCGAGAAATTTCAGAAATCTTAGTTAATAAATACCGTACGTATTAAGTCATAATATATGATATATTATAAAAAACATTTACACATTTTAATGAAGAAATATTCATATTATTTTTCTCAATAAGTAAAATCAGATTTTAAAACTTTATGAAAATTATGTACAGTACACACGGACCTGAAACGCCATATTATATATTAGTTTAAATAGTTATTTTTAAATTCATTTATAAATTTTAGAGATTGATTATGAACATTTTGAGTTTTAATAACTCTAAATCTTCGTCATATTAATTACTTTATCCATTTTAACAAAATACTCAACTGTATAAAATACAGAAATTTTGTAACACGTTTTAAAAGCATTAAAATTTACATAACATTTTCTAAAAATATTAAACAATAATTCATACTTCTCTATCTTCCATCGACATTTTTTTCATCAGATTTTTGATATTGATTGAATGGAACTTCCATTCTCGAGTAGAAAAATATTCCAAAACTCCAATTGCCTTGTGTAGTTTCTTGTAAATGCTGATCAATCTAAAATGCAGAGGACACATAAGAAATTGATAAAGTAAGCAATAGACTGATTATTCAGATGTCTACTAGGACAGATCGTATTATTAGGACTTATTACACTGGTGTCTAAGTTATACAAAATGAGGAAACGTATTCAGAAAAAGAATCTTTATTGTCCACAATAATAATAAGTCCTACAGTATAATAAGTCCTAATAATACGATCTGTCCTAGTAGACATATAAATAATTAATTTTATATAATGACATAAAGGCATATGAATTAATAGGTAATAAACTTATTTTAGAAAATAAACATTCCAAACATTTACCTCGGTTTCTTTCCAATAACAATTAGCAGCATGTCTACTAATGTAGCTGGCAACTGATGCTCTAACAAAACACAAAGACGATTCCAAAAATAATTCCTTTTAAATCCTCCAGCTGGATATATAAATACTCTTTGTGATGGATAGTTCCATACATGTTTTTCCATGCTATCCACAAACTTGAACCAAGTCATGGGATTTATAGTTCCTGATATACAATTATATACTTCGATATCTTGTGACCTAGAAAAGAAGTAACTATAAATTTCAATTTTAACATATAAGATTAATTGAAAATTTAGATTTTGTGATTTTTACCTCGAGGAATAGAAAATTTCAGTAAAATAAAAATAATATTTAATGAATAAAATAATCAATATGTGTAGATCTACTGCTTTCTCAAAACATTAAAAATTTCGCCATTCCAAAACGTTAGTCAAATAACAGGTTTTTTAGTCCAAGAACATGCAAAAAGTAGAAAAAATCGAACTGAAAAGTTTCTAATGTGTAATAGCACAATTCTACTTGTGACTTACACATAGTTATTAAAAAATTGCATAAAAATTGATACTAGCAATCGTCTCTAAATCGATTATTGTGAAAATAAGTTTTGCAACTATCGCGGATCTATCATTATCAAGATTGAGGTAAACGACAATGCAACTACTGTACTGTATAGGTGAGTCAACTAGTAATGTATTGTCTTCTTTCCTTATACAAATAATATCGGAAAGAAAAACGATATCTCGGTTCCTAATGAAAATAGAACAATAAAGAAACAACGGAAATTCGGAAAATAAAAAGTTGTAAAGAGTGATAAAATAAATAATTTTAGCTTTTATTGCACCCCAAAATATCAAATAGATTCTTAAAATAGGCTTTTAAAGCACGACGTATATGACAGGAAATGAATGAATGAAAAACCACAAACAGTTACACATCGAAAATGAATGCAAAGTAATTAGAAATGAGTCAGAATTGTTGTGTTCGTTTCTCTGTAGTAGTTAAATTAAGGATGTTAAATGTACACTGAAAGAAAACTGTTAAATTGATTGTACAAATATAAAGTTAGATACAAGCATGCTAATATTTCTGGAATTGCGATTGATTTTATATGCTAATGACTGTGACATGAAGTGTTAAACAAACTGAAAGTAAAATACAATGTAACTAATAATCTGTAGCCGAAAAGCTGTTAAATGAATTATCTAAATTGGGAATTATGAAAGTCCTGATTTCATTTGAAACCC